CTCAAATTAGGTTTAAACTTAATAATTCATTAGCCGAACCCCTAGGTGGTGCGCCCGCGGGAGGTTAGGTCGCGACACCAAGGCTCAGTCTAAACTCTGTGTATCCAACAATGCGCACGTCTCAATGTGCAACAGGCCAAAAGTATTTCTGTAAATTTCTTCATCACGAATTTTGCAGAGGCCATAATCAATTATGTAAAAGAATATCTCCCAGAACAATCAAGTCAACATCGACCTAAGGCTCTAATACTAGTGTCTTGCTGAAATGACGCAGGTGCAGAACAAACGAACGAACTGAGCAAGAAATAAATGCAAAATGTAAACCCAACATAGCGGATTTACATGGTTCAATTGGGTGTGTCTACTCAATGGAAAAAATCGTCGACATATTCCAAAAGGAGACTGCAATCGCTCGAATCATACGCCACTCAAGTGTTTTACGAACTCAATTACCCAAGTAGCCCCATAAGCTCTAATTTAATGATATACACAAGTGTTCACAAGACGTATTCTCACTCTTTGAAGACTCCTTCAGCTCTCAGTGAGTGAATTAAGTTCACAACACGAATCACTCACAACACAAACTTAATCCCTCCTATGTTTGATCAAACGTCTATCCGAATTGGGACGGACGTTTGAATTTTCTAGACTGAAGATCCAGGCTAGGTCGGATGTCCGAAGTACCAACTTCGTGCCAAGCTGCATCCTAGTCGATGTCTTGTCAGCTTTGGGCCATGGACGAGAAAACGCAAGTTTGGACCTACAGAAGCTCGTCTCATTTCGTCACTTGTTCGGGACGTCTGCCACTTGATTTTGGGACCCTGTAATGTGTGCTCGTGCACCTCCAAACAGTTTCGCTTGCTCCGTGTTATCCTATGATCCAATCTCAAGTCGATTCCAAATCAAGTTGGGTCTAGTTCCAGTCGTATTCGACACTTCTTTTAATCACCCACATGTGAAATTGTCCTATGTGAAAATTCCCAATAGCTCAGATGACGCAAACCCTAGATATTTTTCCTTTCTCTCAACAAGTTGGAGAAGGCTTGGTCTCCATCACTGGCACCGGCATCCACAGAGCTGTCGGCTCTTGTTTTCTAGTATACTCAAATCATATGTTTGCCCACATCCCTGTTTTTTTTTTTTTCCGATTGAAAATTTTATTCATTTGTCATAATCAAACATGAGAGGAATATAGAATACTTTCTAGCAAAGATAATCTTAAAAGAGCTGCAATGCAAAACAAAATCTAGGGCACTTTCCCCTCCAAAAACTGTGGAGTGCAGTGTGCGCCTTCAGCGTCCTCAACAACATCGCCATACGGAGACATCAACAATAGTATGTTGAATTACCATAGATCGAACATCTCTAAGAAACTCTCAAAGCTAGAGTTAGATTGAGATAGAAAAGCTCCTAGAGTTCTATCTATACTTAACAGGAGAGGAGAGCTTTTGTTGAATCTTGGAGAAATCATAAAAACATATTCTAGGCATCCTGTTGGCTGGACTGGTGACAAAGTTCTCACAAAATTTTCAACTGCAAGTAAATTTATTCACGACAACAAGCTAAGAAAAGCAACGAAAAGGAGTGAAAGAAGACACTAAACGAGTCAACAGAAAAGAATGAAACCAAGGTTTAGAAAAGAAAAGATAGAGCAAAGCAGGCTCTCAGCTTCAGAAATTGAAGTCAAAAGCCTGGAGATGAAGTTTCTTTTAAGGAGAGATTTTTTGGGAGAGATTAGGGTTTGCTGGCTTATCCATCTTCCCGGAATCAATATATCCCCACATCCCAGTTGTTTGTACCAAAATGAAGATTTGGATTTATTTCACATTGTCACTATTCTCATTTACACATCAGCAAAAACAAAAGCATATATATCATGCCAGTTCGATTTAGACTGGAAGCCACCACCCAAGACATATTACTCACGGCCAAATTTGCATGTCACCATCAGAAGGGCAAAAGACAAAAAGTGAGCCGCCAGAGATCCAATGAGAATCCAACAATTTCGGTGCATTTATACAAATTTTTTTAACTCCATAACTTATCCTCACGACAAGAAGACAAATGCTAGTGGGACATAGCAAATATGTTGAATTATTGACAATTTTTTATGGCTGAAGATTGAATTATTGACAATTACCACAACGCCGTGCGACGCATGGCAGCATGGGACGTACTTGACTATTAGTTTTCTAAATTCTTTAATTAATGTTAAGTTTATTAGTCCACTTAAAATCCTGGTCATGTCATTATGCAACATTAAAATCATCTTGCAAGATGACTTCCATTAATAATAATCTTGCTCCTGACAAAATCATCAACATTGAAGTTTATGTGTTAGTATTTAGTTGTACTTTGGTTAAATCTTGCGGATGGCCATGGAAGTATTAGTCATAAGATACGGATTTTCTCTTCTTCCTTCTTTGTCCTACATATATTTATATGTCTTGTTTTATTTGCATATAGATTTATATACGTGTGAGCTAGAAGTTGCCACATGTGAATTATCTCATGATGGGTGGAATTGTAACGGTGCGTCTGGATGCAAAATTTATTCACATGTTAAAACCCCTTGAAACGTAATTGTAGCTTTACCCAAGAACATCCTTATTGAAGCCATGTTCTAGTTGTTGATGTTTAAAACTATAGACCCACTTTACCTAAAGAGAACCTTGCACTTTAGAAATATTTTGTCATGAACTTTAGAGACTTTCATACGAGAACCCTAAATTTTGAATTCAGTTCCAATCCAAAGTAACCGCTCGATAATTAAGTTGTTAATATCTCGAGTGAAGATAGTATGTTCTCATACTAGCTTCCCCGTTTGGATCCCCACAATCTCAACTGCTAACATTTAGTTATAATCTCAAAAATAAATTACATTTACATGAATCAATGATTGAAACAAGGAAATAAAGGATGTTTTTCCTAATGCGATGGTGACTAAGGGTCCTTTTCATCTGACAGTTTGTAGCCCAACAATTGTAGTGTCAAGCCAATCACGACGGCACAAGTATGCATCAGCGATGGTTTATGGTAAAATGTCCCCGGAAATTTGTCGCCCGAAGTAAGTTTTCTAGCGCCGGAGACAACGGAGTTTGTAACATGGGGCTTAATTTCTCAACCCTAGCTATTTAGCAAGGGTCCAACCGTCTCCCTCTACACAAATTTGGAAAGTAAAGCTTATGAACCCTTCAAATATTATCCAGATACAGAAATTTGAAACTTAGACTTACCGTCCTCGTATTTTTCTGGGAATTGACTTTTGGTTTTTGTAAATTTTTTTTAAAATTCTAATTATTATACTCTTTCTGGTGACAATTTTAGTCTTTCTATCAAATTTGGAAGAAACCGACCATTGTCGTATCGTGCACATCTGTACAAACTCAAATCTATTGAAAATCTTATGGGAAGTAATGAGTGGAATCGATTATTGACATATGATGTCTATGTTTACAAAATTGTAAAAGGAAATTACACTTTCCGACGTCCCTCTAAACTTCTTTACTTTTAGTCACTGCATTTTTATTTTCGTGACAAAACTATTCCGTGTATTCGTGCTCAGAATAATTTAAGTACTTTCATCACATCTCCATCCTATTTCTAAAGGCAAATCCACTCGAATCACACAAAATTGAGGTGCCTACTAGCACAAGTTCACATAATCAAATTTACAGTCTCTTAAGAATTATTTTCATTGTACATAGTAATTGAAATAAATAACCCCGGAAGATCTAAATAGACATGTGTCACGAATCGTGATTCTCTCGTACTCCTGTACTCTTGTGAGTAGTGTTCCGGGTTATCAGGTGAAGAGTGAGGATGTAAAAAGGATGAGATGCAACTGGGTCGTGAGATGGTGTCGGGACGGTTGGTGTTAGGAGTTCTAGAATGGAATGAATATACCTTAGGAGCTCTAAAAGCGGGGTTGGTCTCCCGTGCACAAACTGGTCGGGAGCTGATGCCACTCACCTGATGAGACCATGGCAAGCCGAAACCAGTTGTCGTACCTAGATAAGATCTGTGTGTCTCGCTCAATGGGCTAGACGCCCGAGCTATGCTGGGCGTGGCACAATCCGTACAAGGAAGCTATTCGCCGTATTGTTCTTTGGAATAGCTAATGAACGAGGGCTGGTCTGGTGTGAACGACGCATCATGTGCTGCACGGGCTACTCCTCGGTCAAGGAACTGTCAGCCCGTGACACATGCATATTACCTTTTTCTAGAGATGTCGTAATTACCCTCTTGTGGTGGTTTTGGTAAACGTGAGTTAAAATGTAATGATCGCTTATTGAGCCCATTTTGCAACCTTTACTCAACGTGGAGAGGATAAAGGATTTGCATTTGCACAAGCAACCTGGTGAGATAAGATATTATCACCTAAGACACTCAAAAACATGTGGTCTCACAGGATATTTCTTTCGTCTTCTTGTTTTCTGACGTCCCAGCTGCTCATAGCGAGCTGCAACTTGTTCGACATCGTCCTCGTTCTCATGTACGCATCGACGAGTACAAAAGAAAATATCTCCCGATGATATCTAAGGGACGCCACCACTTGATAAAAGTTTCGGTCGCCATCCCAAGGGCGACGGACAAAGTTACTGCGAGAGCAGTCAAAAGTAACTCTCGAATCTATAATTATTGATGAATTTAGTTGACTTTTGAGGGTGTCGTTATCAAATTCCATTTTTTAATTTTTCATTTTAACTCTTAGTGCACTATAATATGTAACCTAATTTCAGTTGATACGTTGAAATTAAATTAGATCATTTTTTATGTGACATGCCGCATGTGAACGTAATCTGGTGAAATCTTATGATTGGACGTATTAGTTATAGCATATTAATTACAAGAGCGGAATCCCCACATTTTGAACATTCAAATATTCTACTCATATAAGTACTCAACAGATGTCCCTTGATGGACGCAAGTTATAAACCCCAGCTGAAACATAAGAGAGAGCATCAGCTTGTAGCTTTACACCAAAAGCCTCCTTAGTTATGGACGTCTTGGTCCTATTTTTCGGTCTCTTTTTTGTATGGGGTTTGTTCGAAGTTCTTTCTTTCATCAGAAAGAAGAGCAAAACGACTCTTTCAAACCTCCCTCCGGGTCCGCCGCCGCTTCCGGTCGTCGGTAACCTCCTAAGCCTTGGCTCTCATCCTCACAAGTCCCTTGCCGGGCTCTCCTGCACTTACGGCCCCATCATCAAGCTTCAACTTGGTCATGTAACCACAATTGTTGTTTCATCTCCAGCAATCGCAAGAGAGATCCTCCAAACCCACGACGCGATCTTCTCCAACCGCACGATCCCTGACTCCGTCACTGCCTTGAGGCAAGACGAGCTCGGCTTGCCTTGGCTCCCCGTCTCACCTCTCTGGAGGAACCTTAGAAAGATATGCAATTTGCACATCTTCTCTCACAAGAAGCTCGAGTCCAATCAACACATCCGCCACGAGAAAGTTCAATAGCTTGTCGGCTACATCAAGAGAAGCCTTTCTACGGGTGATGCTGTCGATATTGGCGAAGTGGCTTTCAAAACTGTAGTCAATCTATTGTCGAAGACCATGTTGTCCGAGGATTTGGCCGACCCGTCCGGTTCGGCGAGAGACTTCAAGGACCTTGTTTGGTGCATCATGGTCGAGGCCGGAAACCCAAACCTGGCGGATTATTTCCCCGCGCTTAAAAAGATCGACCCACAAGGCTCAAGGCGGCGTATGACGGTCTATTTCACGAAGATTTTCGAGCTCTTCGACGGCTTGATTGAGAAGAGGTTGCGAGATAGGGCGACGGTTGGTTCTATTAGAAAGAACGATGTGTTAGACACGCTACTTGATGCGAGAGAAGACAAGAGCCAGGACGTGGACATTTTCCTCATCAAGCACTTTCTCTTGGTACTTTTCTAGTAATTTGATCGTGCTTTTTTTTTGCCTTAGTTATCACATTCATCAACATAGCAATTAATGGAATTTTAGTACAGGCCTTCACTTTTCTATCTTGGATTGGCTTTTCATTAGTTTTTACTTTTTGTTTTTTTTTTAAATATTGATCTCGCGAACGTTTACTTATTCGATATAAGATGTTCAAAACTTTCAAAATGTGATTAATATCAACTTGTAGATTTGAATGTAATTTTTTAAAATCTTATTGAAAATAGACAATTTTTTGAGTTAGGAACCCGTATCAAGACAGGGCATGGATCGGCCTTTTGTTAATTATCTCTCGATACATAAACGAAGGTGAAGGTTGAGTTTTTCTAATAATTCTTTGAATGCTAAAAGTTGTGGAAAAGTGTTAGAAAAGTCCTAGATCCATAAACATTTTAATGGTGACAATTTAGTTCTAAACCTTTTGACTTAGAGCTAATTCAGTCCTTCAGACTAATTTTGGTCGAATATTGCTGATATAGACGCCGGCTGACTTACATGGCATGGCTAGCCGATGTTCACGTGGAAAACTTTTAATAATATTTTAATAATTTTCAATTTATTTATTTATTTTTCCTTTTTTTTTCTTTTTCTTTCCTTTTTTTTTCCTCACTTCTTTCTTCCTCTAGCCGATCACCAGACCTCGGCAATCGGCCAGAGGCGAGGGCCGGTGAGGTTGAATGTTGCTCAAGCGAGGCCACCCCTTGCTGTTTACCGGAGGAAAGAGGAGAAAAAAAAGAATAGAAAATTAAATAAATAATATAAGAAAATAATTAAAATATTATTAAAAATATTCACGTCAGTAATATCCGATCAAAATTAGCCAGAATGATTAAATTGGTTTTAGGTCAAAAGGTTTAGGATTAAATTGACACCGGTGTAATAAATTTAGCAATTTCCTGGCACTTTTTCCTTAAAAGCTGATTTATCGAACACTCATTTGACTAAAGGTATGTCGTAGATATCCTGTTGACTCGCGTGGATCCTATATATGCTGGATTTTGACGTGGACGTGGACGGTGAACCGGACCCAAGCAGTACCTTTCGCATTTGTTTTCTTTCAATGATGCAATAGAGCTGAATAATTTGATTGAAAAAGTTGGTTTACAGGATAATTTTGCAAGTTGTTATTGGTGTTTACATATGCCATCTAGTTACAATAGCGATTCGGAGCTTATCTTGTCTCTTTATAAAGAAATTTGTAAATATCTAGAGGTATAAATTGTTCGTTAAAAGATCGGTACATAAAAGTTTATGTGTCACAATGACATGCATCGTTTAACATCTCTTGTGGTGGACACTCATAGGACTTATTTGTTGCGGGAACAGACACTACTTCGAGCACAATAGAATGGGCATTGTCCGAGCTACTCCACAATCCCGAGAAGCTCTCTAGAGCGCAAGCCGAGCTCGATCGAGTCATCGGCAAAGGGAAACCCATAGAAGAATCTGAAATCGCTCGTATGCCCTACTTACAAGCCATCATAAAAGAGACTTTCCGGATGCACCCCCCAGTTCCTCTCTATCTTCCTCGCAAATCAGGATTGGAAACCAAGATCGGCGGTTTCACCGTCCCAAAGGGTGCACAAGTTCTTGTGAATGTGTGGGCTATAGGAAGAGACCCTAGCATTTGGAAAGACCCGGACGTGTTCATGCCGGAGCGATTTCTAGGGTCCGAAATCGATGTGAAAGGACAAGATTTTGAGCTCGCTCCGTTTGGTGCCGGGAGGCGCATATGTCCCGGCTTGCCGTTGGCCATGAGGATTTTGCATTGGATGCTCGGTTCGCTCATAAACTCCTTCAATTGGGAGCTCGAAGGCGGGGTCAAGCCCGAGGACATGAGCATGGAAGAGAAGTTTGGGATCACCTTGCAAAGAGCTCAACCTCTCAGAGTTATTCCCAAGCCAATAAAGGGTATGAGCCAGATCAAAGTCAAGTCCTAGTTGTTGATGATAGGAACAACGTATAGACCTACATGCCTAAAATGTTCGTGTACTTTAGAAATACTATCACTCCATTCCGAAGGTCGAAAACTTTCATTATTACTACCCTAAATTTCCAATTCACTTTCAGTTGGAGGCTTATCACCAGTGAAGATCCTTTATCCTTGTATTGTGTCTCCATTTGCATCCCAACAATCTCGACCATCAAATTAATGCATTTAGTGACAAGTTTTTATCACATGAATTAATATTTAAGATGGTAGAGACATCACAAGAATTTACGATAAGGATAAATCCCTTTCCTTATCGAATAGCATTGTGCCGCATAATGATTTGAACAGTTTATTAGCGAATGGAATACCACATTAACCCCAAAAAAGTTAATAGTGATGAAAATGTCCGAGACATAGTTGAAACCAACAAGATACTTATATAAAAGTTCATAAGAGAGAACTGGAATAACCTTTATGCTACGTGTTTTCTTTTTATAGTAAAACTACCCATATCAGTGGTGAGATATGCCGAATGTATTAAAAAAAAGGTTATATAACCCGTTTATTTAATGTTTGTCCACCATGAATCCATTAATTAAGCCAACATCAAATCTGATCCTTGATTAGATAAGAATAGGCCTATTCAGTCGAACATAATCTCGGATTAGATAAGAAAAAATCAAAACCGAATTCAACAAAATTAACGAAAAGAGGAAAATAAAAAGAGAGGTTTGCTTGTTATTTGCATATCCAGTTTTTAAGATTTAGTAGCTAATTTTTCATTTCGAAACACACTAAGAATCGAAGGAAGATTCAATTATAAGAATATGTCCTGCGATAATAAAGAAGCCTCTTTTGATGAAGATGATTAAGGCTGCGTTTGGTCGTCTGGATTTCTAGCTATGATAAGATTGGATAGGATAGGATATAAAATCCAAGGATTTTGCTACATCCTATCCACTGTTTGGTAAATCGCAGTTATAAAGCCGGATATTTTCATATTTTATCACGTCCATTATTTATTTTTTACGACATATCAATATAAATAAATCTGAAAATGCACAAACGAATATTGTAAAAATCTCTTATAATTCACTGCCAAATCTAGTAAAAGAGTAAAAATATGATCATTCACTTTTGTGAGTACGAAAAGTATAGTATTTGGACTCCCTCGCTACTTTTGTGAAATTTCAACATGAACCACAAAATTATGGAAGAGTTTTGACTCTCTCGCTGCTTTTATGGACTTTTGACATGAACCGAAGAGCTACGAATGAGAAGAAGCTTAGACTCTCTCGTCATTTTCATGGAGCTTTGATGTGAACTAAAAAACTACGGAAGAGTCTTGAAGTTTCAACGTGAACCAGAGATACATAGGATTAGGAGACGAGAGATGGTAGGTTTTTTCAGAAATTTCATTGCCCCTCATTTTTCGAGAATTAGAAAGATTATTTTAAAATTTGAATTTTTTTATTAAAATCTGGGTTCTTCTACCTCATTTTTATTTACTCAATTTTTTAATTTTTCCATCTCTTTTTTAATTTTGTATTCCCTTCCATCAGTCCTTTATAAAAAAATTTATCAACTTATAAACTATACTATATACCTAAATTGTGTAATAATGTAGATATTAAATATATATTATAGAGTAGAAATAAAATCAATTATATAAATAATATAGGAATATATAAAAACGAAAATTATTTTTTGTATTCTAAATTATCTTTTTAATATTATAACTCAAATACTAATTTATTTTTATTATTTAAAAAGTTTGTTTCGAAAAAAATAGCTTTTATATTATCAATGTTAGAAATCATATCCATATTTATCTCACCTCCCTCCTGGGATAATTTTATCCAAGCTATATCCAACTTTATCCTATCTTGAGTAGGAACTAAACATAGGATAGGATAAATGTTATCATATCCTGAATTTTATCCTGGCTACCAAACGCAACCTAACATTAATGAAAACGAGCCTACGCTTGTAGCGTGTTTCGGGACTACCGTGACAAGAGCCCATATACAAATACATCCACCGTGAAATTTGATTGGAGATTATTTTCATTGGGAAAACAATGTGTTATCTTTACGATTCTTCTCCACTTCTGATGAGATAATCTAGGGTTTGGTGGAGAACAACATGCACCTACTGCCTCACACGTGTTTTGGGAGCAAATTTCTTATCATTACTATCATATTACCATCACAGCTGTCATCAATAATCTATACTGATAATTAGTAGGGGTGAGTGATTCTCAATCTGGTCCAATCCAACCCAAAAATTAGGAACCGAACCGACTAGTCTTGGGATCGTGGACCGGACCGAACCGGACCATCGGTCCGGTCCATTTCCAATGGGACCAATCACTTATTGGTAAAGGCAAGTGAGAATTGGAGAAATTAGATTAGGCTTTCTATTTTTTTCAAAAATTTTAAAAAGTAAATAAATATATATTTATCGGTCCAGTTCAGTCGGTCCGGTTCCCACCCTAGAACCGGGAACCGGACCAATATTCTCGAGAACCGGACCAAATCAATCGGTCTGGTCCGGTCCGGTCTGGTCCGGTCCGGTCCGGTCCCGATTTGGGCGATCCATCTTGCTC